ATTAACACATGAGCATGTACACACACACACACACACACACACACACACACACACACACACACACACACACACACACACACACACACACACACACACACACACACACAGTTCATAACGCCTACATAATTAACCCAATCCACCCAACCAGAGGTAGGTAGTTCAAATCCAGAGAGTAATAGTCCAGACCAAGATTTTTTTTCAACCAACCAGTTGAATATGACAAGTCACAGTCACAATGTACTCAACTGGTACAGACAAAATCTTGGTCTGGACTTTGACTCTCTGGACCTGAACTATCCACCACTGCACCCCCCCCCCCTTCTTCCATAGAACCCCCTCTACCTATCTCCCAAACTCTGCATCTGTAGACTAAGAGACGTGAAACTGGCGAGTAAATCTGTGACCTCATCCACCTGTGGGGAAGAACGGCAGATGTGTTTTTAGTGAGTGGAATCGTTATCCCGGACAGATGCCTGAGTGAGCGTGATATGTATGTAATTACACACGTTAGCTACGGCTCGCTTGTGCATTACCTGCGCTTTGGTCCGTGTGTGCTGCAGCTGTGTGGAGATGCGATCCAGTCTCTCTCGGTCCTCACTCTGTCCAATCGCGTTCAAATATTCTCTCAGCATCTGGATAATCTGCAGAGGGAGGGAGAATCAATGGTAAAAGGAGTGCAGAGAAACACTGGACTACTACAACATGTGAAACGGAGCGCGTTCAGCAATTACACACCGCTTATCTCAGCCGAGGGCACGGGACACTCACGCGGTGCCCCTACATGCACGCTTAATCTTGGACGGTTCTGTGGAAATACTACCTGGGTCACCTCGCTTCTCAGGGTGTCTATGTTGTGCGAGTTTCCTTCCTGTAGTATGTTCAGTTTTGACCGGGCTAAGTGCAGAGGGGTCCTTCCGGCACGGTCCAGGGCGTCAACACGAGCACCTGGGGGGGGGGGAGAAGGCACCATAACATTTCATTTTATGAAAAAACGTAGACAATATAAATAAGTACAATCAAATCAGAGTTGTACAATATAACGGTTAACATCGGTATCAGCTGATGTTCCTGAAATAAAAGGACACTGATATCAGTCCAGTGTGTCAATCTTGGCCGATATTGCCAGCCGATATTTAAACTTTAAGAATATCCAAAGGCAGCAGCACCAGAGCTATTAGCACATCTATTACAATTATGGAGATGCTCGCTTTAGACAATCAGCCATTTTCAGTAGCGGAGGACAATGGAGTCATTCATCACATAGAAGATCTGAGACATGTTCTTAATTCACTATTAAAGATGTAACGTCATTCCGCACTGGCAGAATAGAGGGACAGAGAAACACGAACTGTTCATTTTCCCAACCTAACTGCCACGGACATGAAATATCCCTTCTCAAGACCCAGATAAACAGAATCAAACAAAAGTTTATTCATATGTTAAGGTTTTAAAGACTTAAATTTCACTTCCTGGCCTTTCGCTGCCTAATGCTAATTTACATTTTACAAGTTTACGTCCGAACATAAAATATAATAAATAACAGAGTCGCGTGATTTGCATAATAAAAATCAAAGAACATATTCTCTGTTATATATGCACCCACATAATAGGTCACATGGTACCTGGCACTATGAGTAAGATACACTTAAGCATATCTGCAACGGCATATACTAGCTGTTCATATAAAAACTGAGAAGATGCACACAGTAGATAGCAGGATAGTGTCCTCTCACCTCCTCTCAGCAGAGTAGTGATGACGGGCACGTGGTTTGTACAGGCAGCTGCAGACAAACAGAGGACAACATGGATTTTAACATACTGTGTCCAAACAACTCTTTTCGCACAAGCCGAAAAACAAAACAACAATAATGATAATACAGGTGAACACTACTGCCTGTAATGGCCGTCATTCGAGCTAAAACGGAAACGTCAGATCGTCCCCTCCCTTACCCAAATGGAGGGGTGTGTTTCCAAGACCGTCCCGCTGGTTGGGATCGGCACCACAACTCAGGAGTAGCTGCACTATGGGTAAGAGAGAACAACAGTCGTCATCACGTTCGCTGGGACAGTCTTCCTCCACCCCGTTACGCCCACCCCAAGACTCACCGATGCGCTCATTGCCGTTACAAGAAGAAAAATGCAGGGCGGTCCTGCCCTTGTCATCTGCAGCACATGGGTCAACCTCCTCTTCGAGCAGGCGTCGTACTTTAATGATATGACAGAGAGAATGGGTTGCCACCCATTCCTTATAATACGTATAATACGGCTGCCATCCGTCCCTTATAATACGTATAATAATCCCGTATAATACAGGGCGATCCCATATAATAAGGGACGGGTGGCAGCCGTATTATACGTATTATAAGAGACGGGCGGCAACCCTACTAGTAGGCCTGTTATTAGCGTCTTAAAATGTTATTCATCACTGATAACTCCCCTACCCCCCAAGCCTTACATAAAAAGCACACATTGATGACTGTCTTCATACCTGTATCTATGTCGTTCCCATTGGCAGCCTCTCTGAGTCTCCTCACAGCTAGAAAGATGAAAAACAAAAGTAAGAAACTCACTTCCACCATCATTTGTCAGTGGAGCGTTATGAGAGCCGTGGCTTCATCGTTACTTCGTTAAAAATAGTGTGAATTGCTGTAACAGGCATACATTTGCGTTACTAAACAGCACTCCGCCGAGGTATGCAGTTCTTATTTGCCAAACAAGTCATTTGTCTAAAATACAGAGAAAACGCATACTGATTGCGAAGAGGTTGCATCGATCATACTGCAGGGTGGAGCAGTTATGTGCATTCACTGGTGCACGTTTCTTAAAGACCAATGGATAACTTGCATCGTAAACTTTCAGTACCGTGGAGGTCCTTGCCGATGGGCCCGACGCTGCAGCGAGCTCGGCGCCTGCTTCTGCTCGGCGTCACCTTTCCCAGCCTACTCGTACCATCAGGCCCAGCGGCGGCTCGATTAGGCTCCCACAGCAGATGCAGGTATCGTAGCTCTTGATCGGCAGGTTGTCCGCCGCGACCCAGCCTCATCGCCTGTGCTCCAAACCCGCTTATCCCGAAATGGACTGCAGCCCCGTCTCCTCTATCCTCGTCTATCTGTCTACCTGCCTCAATTTCCGAGTCTGCAGGCGCTCTAGTGTCAACTGTGTACTCGCCCTCCGAGCTGGACCTTTCATCGTCCGAAGCAGTAGCGACGATGGGACTCCACCTCTCCATTTCCCCTCCACTTTGTCGGATGAGCTTTTTTCTAAGTAAACGCTTACGTATAAAGTTCACTACCGCACGATATTTACAAATTTGCACACGCCCAACTCATTTGCAAGCATATTTTTCTCGCGCAAGCACGAGGCTACATCTCGTTAAACACATTGAAACACTTGCTATTGTATCAATTTGCCAAAATGATTCTACGGAGTATCTCGAAATAGCGATTTAATAATCTTCAGTATCGTCCCGTGTTGAGAGCCAAAATGGCGTAAGTTTCATATTTTCCAGTTGTGCCTGCGCAGAATATTTTCCCATTGTTCCTACTATGGTCGTCGAATGAATTCGACCAATCAAATTGCAGCTTGCATTTTGGGCCGACCAATTAGAGTTTAAGGACCAAGACACCGCGGTTCCGTAAAATTCACGCCAAGAAATTGATTTTTTTGAAAATATGGTGTATTTAAATAAATTTGCATCAAACAGGAAGTTTAATCAATTGCCGTTTTTATCATCTCGTTTTTCTTGAACCAGATAACGAAAGTATTTAAGTTACACCTTTAAAAACGGTGTAACCTATTTCACTGAAAATTGTTGTTGAAAATTTGTTCATATATATGTATTTTAAACATAGGCACAAAGTAACACCTAAATGAGTCTCTGGTGAAAAACGAGTCTAAGATGATAAATGATGACAGTATAAAAATAAATATAGTATATTCTGTATGGTTCCACATTGAAAAAAAACTTGTATATATTTATATAGACACACATACCGAAATATATGTATAAAACAGTACATATACTTAAACGGAAAAATAAGAAAATTATATTTCAAAAACATACATGAAGAATAGACGTTAAATTCTTAGCAAAAACAAAAAACCGATACATTTGGCATTTTAAGATAGCCAGAGGTAGGAGGAGCTTGGGTTACACTGAAAGAAAGAAAATAATTTTGGTTCCATATAATCAAAGGTCAAAGTTAGTTCATCCCTGAAGTTACAAAAGGCTCAGCCTCAGATAGGTACTCAGGGAGGGAATTCTCTTCTTGAGACGTCCTGGATTCATCATCGTCAGCCATCACCCCTTCTTCCTGCGAAGGCTGCCACTGCTTACTCTTGCCCACGATGCCCTGCTTCTTCAGGTAACCCAGGCGACAGAAGAGGGGTGGCTCAGTGTAGGTCAGAGAGAAAAGGAAACAGGATTCTGTAGACAATCAGGGAAAAAAAAAATGATTATTTTTTTAAAAGTAGCTGTTGTGTTAGTGTTGTACATGAATACTTTTTTGTTAAGATTACATCTTTATCAGTGTGTTCAGTATACCTGCATAAAAAGCCCTGAGGTCAGTCTGAAGGCAGTGCTCCAGAAAACGGCGCAGTGGCTGGCTATGAGATATAGGCCCATCCCACTCTGTCAGGAAGTCTTCAATAATGTGGTGGATAGCCTTCGGCCGGGGCAGTGGCCATCCGACTGGGCGGTATTTCATATCTTGTTCTATGAGGATCATACCATTGACAGGGCTTAATGGTTAGGGAAGCACACTTGTAATTGAAAGATTGCTGGTTCGAATCCCCGCCCATATGGGTTAAATGCAGAGGACACATTTCGTCGTTGTGCACTGTGTGCTGTGTCAACAATGACCACTGATCATTAAATTCTAATTCTAAAATTCAGAAATGGAAAGTTCAGGTCCAAAAAGTACAACTCCAGTCCACAGTTTTGTTTCAACCAACCAGTTGAACGCTCTGTGACTGAGAGTCTTTATGCTCAACTGGTTGGTTGAAACAAAACCTTAGTCTGGATTTGTACTTTCTGGACCTGAACTTTACACCTTTCTCTTTAATGGATTACTCTTGAGTAACTTCCCCAACACTGACCACTGATTGCATTGATCTTTCTATGTATGGTACCAAGCTCATGTAACCACCTGAAATCTGCATATTTTGCATCTTGTGTTTACAAGTAATCATGAAATTTAATAAGGCTCAACACAACTAAATCATAGGTCTTTCCGTGGGTAATGAAACATTTCTTGTCTGACAGATATGAAGCCGTAACGTTTCTCTGACAGATCTCAATGGGAAGCAGAGTATCAACATGGCTGCTCACCCGTAGGAAGCCTGCTGTAATAGTACAGGACTGGGTGCAGGAAGTTCGATTTCCAAGCCCGAGTCCACTCAGACTCTGCCCGGCCCGGTCCGAGTGTGTCAGTGCGGTTCAGCCCGTACTGCATAATCAGAACCAGCAGGCCCTGCTCTGTGACCTGGTGACCCGAAAGGTTGGTGAGTTGTGCCAGGGCTTGGATGGGGAACTCTTCCAGGTATTCACAGTAAGAGCTTAAGGGAGGAACATAAACAGAATGAAGTTTGTTTAAATACAAACCACCAACACAGAGGCTTAGCCCACTGAGCCACACTCTGCCCCATGACAGTAATTTTATTATAAAAAAGTAAAATCTGACAACAGGTGTTGTCCACATGCAGGCAGGGGATGGTCAGGTTCTTCCTCACCCTCGCAGGAGAATAACGTCGGCCAACATCCCAAACATCTGGTACGGCCCAGAGGCCTCGTTAACCCTCTTTAGCAGCCAGGACAGCAGCTGTGTGGTCTGCAGCTTGGTAGCGGGCCAGGTCTTGCCATGGTATCGGTGTTCCAGGACCCGGTGGACGGAGCGTACTGAGCCACAAAGCAGACCAGAGAGAGGACAGGGTTTCAGAATCGCGGCAATGTGCCACCTTATGCCAGATAAACACGATTCTGAAATGTTGGGCATCACCACCCAGGGCTAACAGACAACACTGTGATGAAGCATGCTGCGCGTAACCAGGTAATAACATGGCCGGCGGGGAGGCGGATTACTCATGTAGCGGAAGCCGTGGATGAAGCCTCCTGCGGATGTGCGGTAGTCTCTGGAATGGGCCGCGGCCCCCAGCACGAACAGGCCGGGGGTCCTCTTCCCCTCGTACCACGCAGTGACCCCCGGAAAGCGCCCCCTAGCCATGCTACTGCACGGCGGCCGGGCAGAGCTGTAGGGGAACACAATGACAATGCCGCGGCTCTCATAGGTACCGCATATATCTTAGCATATAAGAATTCACACTAAACATGGGCATTACAGGCAATCCACAGGTTATGAACAAGATTAATTCCTAAAGTCTGTCTTTAAGTTGAATTTGGAGGAACAATAATAACAGTACATAATGATGATAATTATAAAGTACACAATAATGATAGAATAATAATAATAGTAATTACATGCGGCACTGTACTGTACCTCAAGTCAATGAACCGCTGAAGCTGCGAAGTTTTCACGAGCATCACAAATACGTTCATTTTTGTGAACCATTGCATTTAACACAATTTTTTTTTATATAATAGGCCTTATTACAGTGCGTTCGTAAGTACGAGTTGTCCGTAAGATTCTTAATCTGGGGACTTTCTGCATTTCAATTAACCAAATGATGTGAAAAAAGAAACAGACCAGGTGTGAACTATTCATAATGCAACCACTAATTCTGGTCAGAGGTTAGGCAGGAGGGAAATTACCCAGGAGGGGATTTTAATCCATCACGGGGTAGAGACTCACTCGGTGCACGTCTTGGGACTACAGGGGAAATGCAAAGGGCCCAGAGATCCAACACAGTACAGAGGGACCGTGTGCGTGCGTGTGTGTGTGCGTGTGTATGTGTGCGTGTGTGTGTGCCTGCACTATTAGTTAAGTTCTCCCCAAGCAAGCTCGATGGGCCGAATGGCCTCCTCTCGTTTGTATAGTTCTTATGTTCTTATGTTCTTGACTTACTGAGCCACAGTCCCGCCCCAGGAGCAGCCTATATGACGTTTTATCAGACATTCCCTTAACATTACAATATTTTATGTGATATTGTAACAAGGAATTTGCATACAGCAAAATACACCTTATCAGATTATCATGTCTTTTCCATACCTATCAAAGATAGAGAAGTTGAAGCGGAACCCCAAGCAGCGAATCACACGGTCGTACGGTTGCCGGAGTGAAAAGTTGTCATTGTGGTAACCAGGCAGGGTTGCCGCGGTAATGCCTGAACTCCCATTGCCATTGTTTTCTTGAAGCAAATCAGCCAAGGTCAGGTAGAGCTGGCCACGCCCCTTCCTGTCTTTCCGGTCGCCCTTTTTCTCTTTGCCTGAGGCCTTCTTTTCAGGACTGTACTTGACAATGGCGATTTCTTCAAGCCCACCTTCCACCAGGCCATCCAGTGACTTCAGCTGGTAAGTGTCCAGTAACTCATTATTGACCGCTCTGAGTGGGAATAAAGGGGATTTCATGTGTTTTTCGCAAGACGAAGAAACTACGGCATGAAATATGAACCAACAAAAAGAAATACTACTAAAATCAATTAATAAAATGCGTGAGCACCTGAGGTCTCCAACATAGTGTGTCTGCCAGGCCAAGCGAACTGGATTTGGGCTGTAGAGGTGGATGCGACTGGCCCTACCCAGAATGCTCTGCGCTGTTTCAAAGGCGGAATTCCCTTTGCCCAAGATCAATACTGCCTGGTCTTGGTATTCCTCTGGATCGACAGGTATGGACTCATAACCCTCAACCAGCTCGGAGCCAAAGAACTTCACCTCTTCAGGCACCCACAGGCCTGTGGCAACCAGCAGGACCCTGACAGGCAGGAAAGAACGTCCATATAACGAACAGATAGGGCAGACAGTCACGGTAGGGTTTGGGCACAAGGCAAGGTTGGCAGTCCATCACAGAGCACACACACACTCACAGGGCAATTTAGAGGCCGATATGCACTGCCACCCGTTTTTGGAAAGTGAGAGGAAGCGGTGCACCTTGGGAAAAGCCAAGAACAGGCAAACCCTGCACACTCAGAGTGGGGGACAAGAATCAATCCCACAATTCTTTAGGTGTAGTACAGTGCCAAAATAAAGCCAGAAAAAATAAGGGGGGGGGGGGCAGTAAGGACAATTCCGAGTGTCCTAAAAATATTTGGATCAGTCTGGGTGGGGTGGGGGGGGGGGCAAAGCCTCTTGTGGCAGCATTTAAGTTGGTAATATGTATGGAGACTAATGGGTAAACAGAAGATACCTGCATGAATATTCCAGGCCGTGCTGGTCTATTAGCGTATAGCTCCGCCCTCCATGGTCACCGTCTTCAGAGGCCCAGATTTTTCCAATGTCCACTCCGTACTGGACCTTAAGGTCCAGCTCCTTGGCAAACAAGGAAAGGTAGCGGGGAAGGTCGTCAGCGTCCGGGTACAGCTGCGTGCTGACTCGCTGGAACAGCAGGTCCGGCTTGTGGCTCAGCAGCGAGTTCCAGTCATGCCGGAGGTTGAACTCGCGGTTCTGTCTCCCCGTGTAGATCTTGTTAATGCTGATGAGCTTCCGGTGTCTGGGGTATCTGCCAAACAGTAAGATGAGCAGAGACAGATCGTGGATGCAGAGGTTCTCGCAGATGTTCTCGTTTTAATTAAAAATGGTGAATAGGGACGAGCAACTAGGGATCCTTTATACATTGCAATCATTCTATCGCCATTTAACAAACCCTGGGCGCTGAATTAGCTGCCCCCTGCTATGTCACAGTGTCACATATGGTTTAAATGCAGAGGACACATTTCGTTGTTGTGCAGTGTGCTGTGGTGTGTAAACAATGATCACTGATCACCAAATTCTAATTCTAACAAGATGCTAAACCATGTGGCAAGAAACTCACATGTTGAAAAAACTCCCAGGGCCAGAATTCCTCTCTAGAATGATGTAATCCCGTTGGCTGTGTGATAGGAAGTAGCCAATCTGCAGACCTGCAGGTCCGGCCCCCAGCACGCAGTAGTCATGGCGACAGGTGCTGTTGGAGCTGGGATGCTCACCACGGAGACAGTGGCCCAAGGCAAGCAGGAGGGTGAGGGCAGGAAGGGAAGAGGGAAGCATGAGCACTAGGAAAACGGACATAAAAAATCATTTGAAAAGAATACGAATAACAGAATGAAAAATAGTAACTGTCTAAACTTAAGAATACAGTTAAAACGCATATTTTCTTTAAAGAGAGTAAATAAAGAAGGGCTAACGCTTATGTTATTATTACTATAAAAATGACTCGGAATATAACTATACGACGTAAAATTGTTTTGATCACATGCGATGCAGGAAAAAAGAAACAGTAGGCCCGGCTTGTTTTATATCCTCGTGCTGGATTTCCGAGACATGCTCTTCTTAAGAACTCGCATTCCGGCAAACCTGCTGTCGCGTCCATACATCGGCTCGTAGCTCGCTGCACAAGCCTGGTAACACCGAGAGGGGTTAGACATCAACATGGAGTGTCTTACCTCTTGGTGCACGGACCGCTTCACCTTAGCATCGAGCAAAAGGCATCTGCGCCAACTTCAGCATGTAGTCGGACAGCGGCTCGCTACGCGGATGCGAACATTTTTCCAGCAGCATTCCAGTCTTCCAGGAGTTACTGCCGTCGCCTTCGGCCAATGAGGATACAGAGATGGATAAAGGGGCGTGGTCAAATAAAGCCCCCCCCCCCCCCCC